CCCCAAAACCCCAAAACCCCAAAACCCCAAGAAAAGATACTCTTGTTGAACACAAATTACCACTCTTATTATTTAAACATAATATAAATACTGGCAAGTATGTTGCAAGACCATATTGTGTAGTAAGTACTTCTAGCTGCTCTTCCCTTCCTCATTTCACATTTTTCCTAACGATTCATATAGTTGTTCTACTAAAAGGAACAGAACCCGGGTAGTACTCAAGAAGAGAAAGATCACCAGAGTTGTTATCGAGAAGTCCCAATTATATGATAAATCTATTTTCGAAACTTACCATTTTCCTCGGATCAGAAAGGAAGCTCAATACGAGATTGACTCCCTCCAGCAGAAGAATTGGAGGGTGAGGCCAGACACTCCATGTGCTTGCCAGCCGCATAAATATCATTGAACTAGTATAAACTGACAATTTTTGGATATTAAGAAGAGTTTAATTGAAGAATTATCTGTAAAAGCTTCACTTCCTTTTGCTGATGAAATGTTCACCCTTACAGATACCCAAGAGTCGAAAGATATGGTTATTACTATAAACACTCTGAGGGATATTGCTGAAGAGTCTCCTGGGCTACCCCAAACAGAGGAGAATTGAAAGATTTTTGGCCATGATAATAATTATAAAATCCTCCTACAGCCCACTAAGAATATCTGGAAATTGTTCTACAGCATCTTGAAAGAAAAATCTAGAGAATCACTGAAGAAATCTTACTGGGTGACCATCCCAGGCGATGGTCAGTGAACCCATTCTACTTGTGACAGAAAATGTCCGATCAAGTCTTTCATTAAAACTAAAATATCCCAAGGTGGTGATTTCAGCCCAGTCAATGTTGTTGTAAAGATTAAGGACTGTAAGTTGCTGATAAATCAGGATCAGGTGAAACCTCTGGAATTATGGGATACTCAGAAAGAACTTGCTCGTTCAGAGCAGTCATCCGCTTGCACTAGCTTCAGAGCAAGCCAGCTCGAAGAGAGTAAAAATATTAACGCAAGGATTAAATTTGAAGAGTTTGAGATCCTTGATGTTTTTGATGAATGTCCAGCTGATAAAACAGATCAAACCTTCCTCGAGCGAGATAAAGATTTTATGAATTGGTATGGGCATATGATCTACTCAAAGACTAAATTCAACATAAACCTGCCTAATAAATACGAAATTCCTGGATTTCAAGAAGCATTAGACCTCAAGCCCTCTAAGGTAGAATCCTTCACTGATATGTCAGTAGTCAATCAAGATATTATTGAAGAGTTCCTCAACGTCAGCGAAAAAGGTATCAAAATTTGCTTAAATTATAGAGGAAAAGGAGATTCTCAGCGAAGAGATTGACATAGCAGACTATCATATGGATAAGATCGAGGATAAAATTGATGATAAAATCTTTGATGATGATGCTCCATTTCAGATGTCTCAAGAACCTCATTCAATCTCTCCAAATCCTTTACACAGCTTTGAGTCACAAGATGGAATAGTTAAAGTAGAAGGATCTCAGATGTCAGCTCCTGTCCAAAGACTTTTACCCCAAAAGGCTCCTAGACAGACAGCTGGGTGTAAATAGAGATATCTTTAATATCATGAAATTTCCTAGGAAATTCAAACCAAGCAAGGTAAGGCTGTAAGATTACATTTAGAGATTATTCCTACCTTCAAACAAGAAGCCAAAAGGCAGTAAACCAATTTTTCAAGTCTTCTCGACTCCATCTAGGCCACAGGTTCCAGAAAAACTAGTGCGTAAGAGAGAAGTCAAAGAAATTGACAAAAGTGTTGAGAGCATACTTAAAACGTATAAGCAAAAAGTTAATATTCATAAACTTATTTTCTATCCAAAGCGTGAAGACCTTGACCAGAGAAGGAGTCTTCAAGAGTTTTATAATGCTGAAGAAACCGTGTTTGAGAATAAGAAATTGATAAAGGAAGGTATCCTACAACTTATGCAGCTAAGGGAACCTCCGTCAATCTCAATGAAGCAATATCTTGGAGAAGTAACTCCAGAAAAACTTAAATAAGATCCAAGGTGATGCATATAGTAATAGCTTAGTCAGTAAGAAGCAGAGAAAAGCATTTAAGTTTGAGCCAGATTATAGAATTGCCCACCTTCCTTTATGCAAAGAGGGTACTATCCTCTCCCAATGAGCCCCTCCTTTACTAGATAGCAGAGGAGATCCCAGTCTAAAGAGCAGCAGTCAAACCAAGATTGAGAATATCCCTAAAGAGGAACTGAAGAAAGTCAACATGGCGGATATCTTATCTAAGATTTTGCACACTTAACTAAATTTCAATATTTTCTTAAAAACAAGGGGTTTTGGGGTTTTGGGGTTTTGGGG